AAAAAGCCTTCTTGTTGCTTCCATTGTTATTCAAAATTAGTTTGATTTGTACGAAGGGCAATCATCTGAAAATTCAATAAATTTCCTCTTGGAATCCTGAGCGGTAGAACCCTCTCCGGGAGCCGTGGAAAATTTGTTAATAACTTGACTAGAGCCGTTTGTGAATTGATGTTCTTTTCCGCGACTGACCTCGCTTCCAAAAAGGGCAGTTTATCGAAGGCCATGACATTCGGAATCTTCATGTGCTTCTTTGAAGTTGGACAATTACGATTCTTGGTGTAATGAGGATCACTGCAGTTAATACATTTCTTTTCCAGACAACATAGGGACTCATTGATCACGGGACGATTGATGGTCACCAGCACAGTTTAAACAAGCCTCAGATTTTGTATTTACTTTCGTTGTATTTCGCTATCTTTCGTCATTACAATTTATTTATGACCAATACGATCGCATTTAAACCATATCCTCACTGACTGCATATATGGAGAGACAGGAAGCACCGCTATATGATCAGGAAACGCTGTAATGTCTCCGGCCATGTTTAAAAAATTACTAGTTGATTTAAAAATTAATTTAAAAGATTAATAATAGACACTACAAGTCTCTTATCCCGAGCCATCAAAGTCGACTTTTCGGGGGTGCATAACTACTAAAATATAAAAAATTTTGAATCCAACGTTATATGTCCTGAAAGGCGGCATCCCAACGAGTAATTTGAGCCAAAAAATTTAAAATCGGTCAAGCCGTTCTGGAAATACAAGCGATCGAAAAGTGGTGATTTTAATGAAAAATTAAGAAACGTTTCCTTCTCTGTATGTCTGTATGTCCGTCCGAAATTATAACTTTTTAACATACTCTCTCACTTTTCACACACACCTCTGTCACCTTCGATCTACCGAACTTCCTCCCCCCACCACACACCCCCACCACACCTCTCTTTCGCCGTATTTCACTTCCCTTTCGTCATTACAACTTTTCAACATCCCCTCTCATCTTTCACTCACACCAACTTCGACCCATCATACCTCCTCCCACCTTCCTTCGCTCATCCGCCATCCCCCCACAACCCATCTTTTTTACCGTATTTCACTCTCTTTCGTTATATAATATTTTTTTCTTCACGTAATGTGCCCTACACCTTAACGCTTTTGCGTGCGGAAAATAAACAATACCTCAAGCCGTTAAGTTATTTCTCTAATCCCACTCTTCTGCGCAAAAACGTTGCTGTATAGGGCACATTACGACGAGCACTTTGTAAAGAAAAATTCTATGTTCATGGTTACACAATGTACTATTAATTATATTGTTTATATATTTGTGATATATTTGTACTCTAAAAAGTAAGTGATATCTGAAAAATATCATATCATAAAAATTAAAAGTTCCAGCCATGTTCAAAAAAAGGAACTCAAAAATTTAAATCTTTTATCTAATATAATAATATTTTACCACGAAAAGTAACTAATATACGAGTATTATTAATTAAAGGTGCCAGTTCAAAGTGAGCATACTTAAAGTATATGTAACTTTCGGCCGATTTTCGAGTCGCGTCCGTCTTCCGCTGTCCCCCTCATATATTACCACGAAAAGTAACTGAAATATTATTATGTACATTGTGATAAGACTCAATATGTTTATAACAAATAATATAGAGAAAGAGGGCAATGAGCCAATAAATTACGTTAAAAATCCTATTAAATTAATTTAATATATTGCGAAGAATATTACACAATTATGGCGTTTCGTCTCAGTTTCCACTACTGGACTCATCAGTAAGGCATTGTAGTGGAAGCCTACCTTATACGCCTGCAAGGTGGGTCGATGAAGTAATATTCTTCACAATATTTATCCATAGTAATATATGAATTACCCTCATCCCTCCAACTTGCGCCCCGAACAATCGTCGGTATTGAAACCCTATCTAAAAAATCCCTCCAAATTGCGCGCCGAGCAATCGTCGGTCTTGAAACACAACCCTATCTGAAAAATCCACCCAATCGCCATCAGAGGTCTATCGATATTCGCAAATTCTCGCAAGTGTTTTAATACGCGTATATCTCTTTATATAGAATCTCAATTGAATAACTCTTGCAGGTATATAAGGTAGGCTTCCACTACAATGCCTTACTGATGAGTCCAGTAGTGGAAGCTGGGATGAAACGCCATAATTACGTAATATTCTTCGCAATATGTTAAAAATTAATTTAGTGGGATTTTTAACGTAATTCATTGACTCATTTGCTCTCTTTCTCTATATTATTTGTTTTAAACATATTGAACCTTATTACAATGTACATTTTTAATAAAGAAATTGTCTTCGTAAAATATCGTTTATTTTTCATTTTAATCGTACAGTAGCTAATTGCAGTGTTCAATGTTAACATAACTAATGTATTGCAAAACATTGCGTCTTATTAATCTAGACGGAAAGTAGATATGCTGACGTATATTCTGCGTATATTCTTGACACGAACATAATTATAAAAGGCACAGATTGTCGCAACAAATTCGCAGTTTCGTATTTGAATTCGATTAATAAGTATAACCAGTTATGAGAATAATACGGAGCTCTATCGGCAAGTGTTAACTTTTAAAGTTTTAATTATTTTTGTATTTTCATACTTTAATATTTCTTTATTTGAAATAATTGTATACGTTTTATTTACTTTTTTTATTTAACTGTTAGGATTTGATGAAGCAATATATTTGTGTAATTTAATTACAATTTTTATTACATTTTTAAAATAATTTTTTGTAGGAAGAGACGTCATTTATACATTGTTTTTTCCCTTGTTTAATTAATTTCTTTGAAGAATGACCAATAAGAAGGTATCAAATTTATTATGAAATAGACGTTATATTTTGAAGACTCCACGATTCTTTTTTTTTTTGGAGACATCTAGTTGTCGCGATTCTCGAAGATACAGCGAGATCATCGGAATTTTTTCTTTAAGAATTTAAGCGTTTGAATAAATTTTTCTTATAACAGTTTAATCTTGACAATTATTAAACTTATCAATTTGTTGACAAGATTTGACTTGATTTTGGACATTATTACTATGATATTCGTACTTTATGCGATATTTTTACACGTATGACTTATATTTAATTAACTTTTTTTGTACTAAAATGGTCCTGAATAAAGGTCGAGACGTATACGTTCTCTTTTTTCGTTCATTTTGAATAAAATTTATATATAAAGATATAAATATATATATACACACTGATAAGTTGTATATCTTTCTCAAATTGGCATTTTATTGTTTATTTTAGATTTATTCATGTGAGATTATATTGTGATTATATCGTTTTTTTAAAATATGTATATAGTTGTCATTGTTTTTCTCCACGGGGAGAGGTTGATCATGATTTAGGATCACTGTGGTACGCGCGGTACCTTCTCGGTGCATTTCTCAGCCGCATCTTGTTGCATCGCATCGGTACCGCGTGGTTGGATAGTCGGCTCTACGAGAGAGCCATTTAATGCGGGACAAAAGAGAAAAAGGAGAGAGAGAGAGAGCCCGTTTAGTGCCAATGTCAAAACCAACGCAGCATCGCCCACGGATACGTGTCCGCATTTTGCCGGCGAGAGAGCCCTCTCCAGTCGACGGCGACTTGTTGCACGAGCACGTGAGTAATTCCATCAAAATTGATGAACTCATTACGCTCATATCGTTCCCTTACATCGTCGAATTAAGCGAGCCGGTCGTAAATCCGCGGCAGGCATTATTTATGTGATCGGCGGCGCGGAGAGACGCTGGAGGCTCCGCGGACGTCCCGGACCTTCCCTAAAAGGATACGAACCTTTCGCCGCGCTGGTATCGTTTCATTTTCGCCGTTCACTAATTGCATTTCGCGTTTGTTTCTATTTTTGTTTAAATTTTATTTTCGTTACCGAGGCTTGTGCCGCGGACAATTTTTGTCTAGGATCAAGCGAACGTTGCTTCGATCCCATGACGCGCATAATCTTGCTCCGCGTTGCCGAAGGCATGCTTCGCTCCATGCACGATGCAAAAATTGCATTAGATGTTGAATTTATGAAATTCCGATAAGGCCTCTCCCTATATTTTCCGAAGTTTTCCGTCTTTTTCGATAAAGTTGAGATACACGAGAAATCATCGGATTATTTGTCGGTTCTTTTGCAAATAAAAGTAATTTTTTAAGAAATGTGATCTATTGATAATTTCGACTAATAATTATTAATTAGTTATTATTTATAACTTCGAACAGATTAGTTGAATTTAAATATGATAATGATTTAAAGAAAAAATGACATATGCGTTTGTCTCGGGAGATGTATCTAGAATCTGTATGTATCTAGAATCCAGAATATGTATTTAGAATCCGCGTTTAAGTCTTGTAACATTGTGCAAGAGTCGTATTTGCATTGGCATGTGCAAAATTTTGTCTTCTGTTCGTCATTTATCTTCCAATATCATTATGCAGCTCGTAATAATACGTATATTAGTTGTTCCGGCATTTATGACGCAGTTTACGTGGGCAACTTGAAAAGTTTCTTAAGTCAGAGAGAAAACAATATTTTTTTCGGAAAAGTTTCATTTTATTTATCAATATAATCTCCTTTTAATTCAATACACTTAATCCAGTGATGCTACAATTTTTTCAAGCCGTCCAAAAAGTACGATGGCTGAAACTTTGCAAAATAGACGTTCGTGACGATGATGACCTTCTCATTCGACGCGAATTTCTTTCCTCTGAGCCAAATCTTCAGGTTTGGGAACAAAAAGAAGTCGCATGGGACTAAATCTGGAGAGTATGGTGGATGAGGCAGCAATTCGTATCGTAATTCGATCAATTTTGCGGTGGCAATTGCGGATGAATGAAACGATGCGTTGTCGCGATGGAACAACACTTTTTTCTTGGTCAAATGAGAGCGTTTTTCTTTCAATTTTTTGTCGAAATGTCCCAGCAAGTGGGCGTAGTATTTTCCCGTAATCGTTTTTCCCTTTTCTAAGTAGTTGATGTGGATGATGCCTTTAGAATCCCAAAAAAATGGCCATGACCTTCCCAGTCGGTGAAACTGACTCGGCTTTCTTTGGGGCCGGTTCATCAGATGAAATCCATTGCTTCGATTGTTGTTTTGTTTCGGGTATGTAATAGTGAATACATGTTTCGTCCACGGTCCACATATCGACGAAAAACATCTTTTTAGAGATGATCATATGCACGCGTTTATTCTCCACTGTAAGCAAACGTGGCACCCATCGCGACATCAGCTTTCTCATGCCTAATATGTCATGTAGGATATGAAATACCCGTTCTTCTGAGATGCCTACCATCTCTACTATCTCACGCAACTTCAAACGGCAGTCACTCATAACAATATCGAGCATTTTATTGATTTCTTTGTTGCATTTTTTTGTTGGTAGCAGTTTTCTGGCGTCCACTGTGTGGTTCATCATCAGTGTTGGTACGACCACGTTTAAATTCGTTTACTTAAAAACTGATGGTTGGTAATGAAGGAGTAGATATGCCATGAACCTCTTGCAACTCTGCTTGAATCTGCGTAGCTGTTTTTCCTTTCAAAAAATAGTGTTTTATCACTGCACGAGAAACTCCTTTTTATCTATTGTTGAAAAAATGTTTGACTTGCTTTATTTGACTGCTCGTAACTAAATGATCAATGGACGCAATTGTCGGAAAATTTGATAGCAACCATAAAAGATGATGTACTTTTTAGCCATTATGTTTTTTTTTGCGATACGCGCGTTATCTCTGTGTGACTTAAGAACCTTTTCAAATTGCCCACGTATTTTGATCGTTGATGAGTACGTCGTAACTAGTAATAATGCAATTTAAAGATAATGAAGATTACGCGTGTGAGGGATAGATCGCATTAATTATGCGTTTTCGATAACGGGTGTAACGAAATATTAACAATAATAAAATAAACTATTAAGCTAATTTAACGTATTATCAATAACAATCAAAATCATTTTAGTGAAACTTTAATCCTAAATAACGTTCGAAAAATCTGTTCAGAAAAGTTTATTAAATTTTCCCAGGATGGCAACGTTATATTTATTAGTACAACTAATTCACTTACGCAGGAAAATCTTTACATATTAATTGCTTTTTATTATAAAAAATTAGCTCCGAAGAGATTCTTGGATATGGTAAAAAGCAGATATATGGTATTTTTAAATCACATTGATCATAAAATAATTTATATGTCGCATTTTACTTTAAAAAATATTTTATATTTGTGTTAGAAACGATCCACTTAAATCTTTGTTGAAATTTTAGTATATCTAAGTGTTAATTTAACGCAATATGACTGAGAATGAGTTAATCGAATATTTTGTGTTGAATTAATTCAACATGTCTTACTGTCAAATACAATTTATGAGTAAGTGACTAATATAAAATAATATTTTTTTAAATAAAAATTCTAAGAGAATAATCTTAAGTGAATAAAATGTGCTAATTTGATACATTATAAATGTTAATTCTAATTGAGAAATGTGATTGCTTGCAAATTGCATTATGCTTTGCGTCAATTAAAAAAATTGTAATATTTGTGATATTATTTTTCAACTGTAATATTATTTTTCAACAAATTTTTCAACTATATACAACAATAGTTATATATAGTAATATTGAATAAAAAAGGGTAACAGGAATCAAGCGCGGTAATTGCGCAAATTGATATATAAATTTAACACAAAATTCTTTATTAATTAAATTCTTTATTAATTAGTCTTACATGTTTCGATTCATTTTTGAACGCTCTTCAGAGACACATTTAAAACTGTATTTACAATATATGCATAGTAACTAATTTGTCATAGTGAGCTATTTCCTTATAATTAAAGGAACCTTAATAAGTATATATTATATTAAAAAATTATATTTCACAACGCTAAAAGAATATAATAACTTTACCTTTATGAAAGGATTGACTGGCAATCCAAAACGATTTAGTATTTATAACTTGTTAACAAATGGAAAGAATGACTCGGGAAGATCCTCCATATCCGTTTGTAAATTGAGACCATGTGTCTGTTTCCTGATGAATATCATCTTCGAAATTAGTCTTTTTTGTAGTGAGGTTCTTTATCTAAAATTATAACGTTCTTCCAATCGAGAACTAATGGTCCTCTTGTATAATCGATGATCCGTTACGATAAAGTGTGTGGTTGTATTCCATAGAATATGATTTTTATGTTCAGAGATTCTAGTCTTCAACTGTCTTTTCTTTTGTCTCATGTAGCTGCATCACAGTCTTTACAGAAAATCTTATATACGACATTCGATTTTACATTTTGCGGGAACGGATCTTTTGCGGATCTTATGCACCCTTTGTAATTTTCTAACACTATAAAAGGATATCTTAATATCTTCACTCTTTAATCTATTAAACTTTTGGAAACAGTATAAAAACATGAAGAATAGTATATATAATGCAAGTCATTCGATTTTAGCGTTACTTTTTTTTCAAATTTTTTATTGTGGAGTTAATAATGTTCTTCAACCGATTATTATGATACAATCAAAAATGAATTCTAATAAGTAATCGTTGTTTATATATATAATAAAATTTTGATTATAAAACACAAAAATTGTCAAAATAAAATTTTGGGTTTAAAAGTAAAATTACTCTATCAATTAATTTCAAAACATGTAAGATCATTTATTAATAAAAAATTTTGTGTTAAATTTATATATCAATTTGCGTAATAATTACCGCACCTGATTCTTATTGCCTTTTTTTTACTCAAATTTCTTTTTTGAATTCTTTGTGAATCTATTTATGTTTACAACAATAGTATAAAAAGGTATTTTAGAAAATAAATTTAATTAAATTTAACTGAATGATATCTAATCTAATAATATCTATAAAAAATCTGCTCTCTAATAATATCTAATTGAAAATAAATTTAATTGAATAATTAACGTTTTGTAACATAAATTTTAAAATATATTGACGAAAGTTTCGTATTGTGGCGGAAACAATAAGAAATCGTATTGATGCGTGGATGAATTGTTATAGAATGACTATGATATATATTAATACCACCATTTAGTTGAGAATGTTTCTTTATTTTACCGGTTCTAAATAGAAGGTATGTATTAATATAAATTAGGTTAATTAATTTTTTACTCATTAACATATAAATAATTTTACATTTAAAATAATTATTTAAAAAAATAAATAAAATTTTTCTTACTTTTCCATCCTTTTTTGAAAATAAAGTGGAAGAAAAAGAAATTAATAAAGCTAAAAAAGTTAAATATTAAAGTGAAATATATAGATTTATACCTTTACAGGTTTCTCTTCCATGTGATATTATTTTACCATATATTCATACATTAAATGAAGATTTTAACTGTATCTACGTTTAAATTTTATATACACTGATAATGACCCGATAAGAGTAGAAACGTTTGATTTTTTTTTTGTACTTTACTTATTGTTTACATTAAAGCAACTTATATCTTATAGCTTAGACTCGTAGCTTATTGAATTATTTATTTATTTTTTTAAATATATTTTTTTCTTTCATATTTCCCTTTTTCTGCAAACTGACAGTTTTTGAGTTATGTCATTGTTGTAAATAAGTGATATCTACTCAAATGACATCGACAGGCAACGAATAAACTCTATTTTGACACCTATTGCGAAGACATTTAAAATCCGGCCTGTGTAAATTACTTTTTGTTGCGCGGCGTCATCATTATTACATTCATGTCTTTTGCGTGCATACATCCTTATTACTTGAGGCGCGTCGGAAAGCGCGCATTCTCGGTCTAGACATGATCAGAGCCTAGAATGCGCGCAAGATCGACGTCTCGTACTCGAGACCAATAAACGTTGATTTATCGGCGTGGAAATCGAGCGCCGGGTGATTTGCGACCATAGGCAACAAAAAGCACTTGGAACTTCATGAGTACGATCCCGTGTCCCGTAGGGCCTCGCTAGAACCTCGTCGCGCGCGATACTTGGTGGGGAACCACCGTAAGTGCGCGACTGCAGGTCTACGTGATCCTATATAAGAGGATGCGACTGAGAGCTTACATTCTCACATCCGTTAACTGACTCTCACCGGGATTATCCTAGGTGAGCGAAAAACCGTGATCGAGGGGTCTCGATTCGCTAGCCACGATTAAGCGACGGTTTATCGGCGATCTTATCCAACCGAGGATGATTATGATATTCGTGAGTAAATTCTTTCTCAAATTTGGGTAATTTAACTCTTCAAAAAATGCATAGATAATTTGTTAACCTTTTTCATTCTTTTAACCTTTTTTACTACTGTATACACTAAAAAAATTAATAATAGCTATATAAAAAATTTGGTAATGACTATAAATATTGAGTGAAGTATAATTTCAAGTAAATGTTTGGTTAATATATAATAAAAAACAATTTTATTTTTATATTTTTTTCATATTTCCCTTTTTCTGCAAACAACTTGACAGTATTTGAGTTATGTCATTATTGTAAATAAGTGATATCTACTCAAATGACATCGATAGGCAACGAATAAACTTTATTTTGACACCTACTGCGAAGAGACATTTAAAATTTTTAATTATTTAATATTTTTTTAATATTTAGTAAATATTATAAAACATAATAATATAACCAACCAACACGTTTGGTAATGATAATTACTAAACATTAAAAAAAATAAAATTATTTTTTGTTATATATATATTAACTGAACATTTGATTAAAATTATTTCACTCAGTATTTGATAATTACTCTTTGCCAGACTCTTTTCAATGTCTTACAAAATTCTTTAAAAACTAAAACTGTAATTCGCTAAAACTGTTAAACTGAAAAAATATATACAAAATTATTCTTTATTGTTTGCAGATAGATTTTTGAAAGTTCACAAAATTCATACAAAAATAAAAAAGTTTTTATCGTTTAAAAACACGTATTGATACATTAAAAGGAAAGTTAAATTGCATGCCGAATTTTTGTGCTTGCCAAATAATTAAACGTAATTAATTTCGACCGATTAAGTATAATTTATATTTAGCATCCTCTTGTACTCAAGATATTTTTACTCATATTTTTTTAAATTTGTAATTAATCCTAAGATAATTTGAGGTATCTTGCTCCCGCGAGCGTCTCTAATTGAATTCTGCTATCCATTTTGTAATAGAAGAATAAACTCGTGTTTACATCGCGTTTGACAAAGGACTGAGATGAAATGAAAGTTTTACACACACACACACACACACACGCACGCACGCACGCAAATTCAATTTACTATATATCTGGCACAAACTACAAAAATTTTCCAAGGAAAGGCAGATGTCTGACACATTTGCGTATTGATTTTATAATTATTTAAATATATTTTGAAGCAGAATTCACATTAATATGACAATAACTGCTTCCGTAGTATCATTCCAGTGCGAGTATTAGCTAACTCGCTATTT